CAGCAAGTATCAAGACAGTTTATTTTGCCATTGTCTATATTTTTGAATTTGTGATTTATACCTTCACACACCACACACACGTCATGTCACACTGTGATGACTGATAGATAACAATTAACAGATAACAGTAAATTGTTATCTGTCTGTGGATTATGTGACCACCTTAGGTCATAATATAATATTATATTATATTATATTATTATGATCTAAAGTGACCACTGAGTGGCACTGACCATGGCTGTATTATTATTCATTTTAATTTAATTTAATCGGTTGGACTATACTATACAATTTAAAATTATGGCTATTGGCTATGCTATCTTCATGATTTGTGGATTTATCATAGTTTTATACTAGCACGRAGGGCTAGTAGTTTTATAAAACACTAATAATAATACACATTTTATACATATTCTGTGAGATTTAATTATTTATTCATATTGTATGTTCATTTAAATTGTTATCACCGATAAATTCAGATTAGTCCAATCACAGAGCGTTAAGTTCAAGATAACAATGCATGGCCGGACGTCAAACGCCGCAYAACGCACATGGCTCACGCTTTTTAAAATTCAGTTTTGATAATCAAATTTATGGTACAATATAATGCGCGAATGTGCAGTTGTGGACGGTGTGTTGTCAACAACAAGGCATCATGACAGCGGTGTTTTTCCGAAATCGTTCTATTTTTATACTTTTTCCGAGCATTATAAATTATTTCTGAAAAACAGGTCTACCGGTCTACGTCTACCTTGTAGAGAGTAGACTGAACTACTTTAGCAGTAGTTTGTAAACAACGGTCAACCAGTTACATAACAAGTGTTACAACGAATGCAACGGTTTGGTCGATCCATCTTTTGTTATTTAATTTTCAAGTTTCTATCATTTCAGATTTGTACAGTTAATAGTTTTTTCTTTTGAGTAACAGTATGTCGTTTTAATTTTAAACTGGTAACTCTTATTCAGATGATTAATATGATCCATTGTTTTTTGACTTATACTTGGTAATGTTGAAGGTTAAAATTTCAGTTTCAGTTTCATACGATTCTCCAGTCGACTATAATCACACAAATCATGAATTCTACTAACAAGATTCCTTGCTGTTCCCACTGCAATAATAATTATCACATTGGAGGTAATTTACTATGATATTATAATTTATGTGCTGCAATTGAAAGAAGGTATAATTTTAGAAGAATTATAATGTACCTAGTTATTAGGTATTAGTTTATTACCCAGTTGGTCTGTAGAAGCGTTATAAATTATAATTGTGTATACATAGTACGTCATACTTATTAAAGCAGACTTTTATTTTAAACTAGGTATATGAACAAATAGTTATGTAAAAAAAATCAAGTACTGGTGTAACACAATACTTATACTTATTAGATAAAACATGTTACATTTTTTCTTTCCAAAGTTAATTTGACAAAATATTTCCGCAAATTCTACTCTACCACTTCACATCGCTATCATATTAAAAATATATTTTCATGGTACCAACTTCTTCTTTAAAAACTTGTTGATTGTATGATTCGTATACCAATAAAGTTGTAACAGAAAAAAATTACCTATATAGTTATATATTTTTTCTAGTTATAAGTGCTTATAAAATATTTATTACGACAAAAATATTTTCAGAGCACATTAAAATATCATAGTACAATCTTCACTGAGATCTACTTAAACTTTTCACTGCTACACTATTTATACTTTGTAATCAGCTGTATACGCCACATAAAATAAATATTTTTAGTTAATTTTTTTGTATAATGTTTTTAAATTTTAAATTTGATATCTAAATTGATTAAATTATTTAAAAGATTTCCTGAAATTGTTTGTTTTCCAACAAATTATATTMCTCAAATGTAAAAGAATGTGATGGTATGTCTGGACCAGTGAATGGTGTACATTTTTTGGTTGTATAGTAAGTTAAGAGCAGTGAAAGGATTAAAATCATTTTTATAATTTCACAATTTATCATTGTTTTTGTGTTTATTATAATAAATAATAATATTGGTACCATCATATACTATGATAAGGTTCTCTAAGTGAGATAATAATTACTCAATTTTAAGTATTAGTATCATGTGCGCCCTAAATTTTATAATTTTGGTATTATGTATATTCATTTTTATTTTATTCAGAAATTTACATTATAGGTAAGTAGGCTTACGAAAATTATATAATATAATAACTATTCATTTATTATTTGTTATAGATGTACATGGACCCAAGATTCCAATGTTATTAGCTTGTGGACATGATATGTGTAGAAATTGTATAAAATACTTGTACAGGAAGAATAAACGAGTTATTTGTAAAGTTTGTCAAACTAATACCATGTATGAACCATTTTTGTTTTACTCGATGTCAAATTATCAAATATAAATGGTTTACTTATTTATTTTTTAAATGTTCACAATATTGTAATTTACAGGATTAAATGTGATGACGAAATATCAAACATACCAATACACTACTTTATAATTGGTAAAGTATGGTACTCATTATATAACAAAAAACGTAAAATATATCAAGATATATCTAATATTAGGATGACAAAAGTTCCTTCTTCATTGTCTTTAATCAAACCTAAAGGTAAGTTATTAATTTGATATTTACATAAATATATTTTAGGTACTTATTTTTTAATAATCATTATAGAAAATTGTCAAAATTGTCATAAATATGCAGCTTTCTTTTGTCAACAATGCGATGATGTGTATTGTGAAGATTGTTCTCAAAAGGTTATTATTTCCAGCTTTCACTTAAATTGAATATACAGCAATTTTTTTAATCAATTATTTAGATTCATATGGAGAATCGACATGATTTAAGCAAACTAGATACCACACACCTTGAATTTCTTCAAGCCTCCAATTGTGACCTTCATTTTAAAATAATTGACTTTATTTGTACCACATGTGAAATGGAGTTGTGTTCAATTTGTGCTGTTGAAAATCACCGTCATCATGAAGTTCATCATTTGGATAAATATGTAAGGACTATGAACATTTTATTTATTACAGATTTAATATGATAATATTATGTAAATAAAACATTAAATAATTAAGAGTAAGGAACAAATTTTAAATTCCATTAAAAATTTCTAAAAGTTTTAAGATAAAAGATGATGAATAGTTTGATCGTTTGATGTAAACATAAAATAATTTGTATTAATTTTAATTAGAGGCCAGAGGTTACATATTTAATTCAACAAAAAACCAATATAATAATGTTATAAAATTAAATTTTGGTGTAGGAAATAAAAAAAAAAGTAATCCCATAATTTACGCTTTTGGATCATAATGAATTCGTTAAATTATTGAACTGAAAGTTAAGTATTGTGTGTACTGTGTTTCTAGTGTGTACACGTTTGTTGTCCAACGTTTGTTAAAATCTTTTAAAAACCTAGTTATTTTTTATTAATTTGTTATTTTAATTTTGTTATTTGTGTACATTAACATGTCTTTTAAAGACAGCAATGTTCATAGCCAAAGTAAAAAAAAATTATATATAAGTAGTGTTTATTCGTTTTTAAAAAAGTTATCAGAAAAAGAAGATTTAGACACTAATTTTTTTCAATACTCAAGACGTTACTGCTGAAGCTTGCGAGATTTCAAAGCGGTCAATTGAACGTATTTGTTTAGAAGCTCGAAAAACTGTAGAAACTAAGGTATTAGAAGCAGCTAGTCCTTCTTTTGTGTCACTTCTTAAATCTTACAAACGAGCAAAATATCGGAAGTGGATGATTTTGATGGTGATATAGTAAGGAGAACAGTACATACATTTTATGACAAGGGTGAATACCCCACTGCWCAATTTATACTYAATTCTGTCAAGAAGAAAAACAATTATCCAGGAAGTCTTAGATCAAAGCAAAGACTTCTAAAAAATCTAAAATCGTTGTATAAAAAATGGAGTGTTGRCCGTAAGTTTTTAATGAAGCSCAATGATATAGTTTCTCTTACACCGTGTCCTACATGAATCCGACGAGTGCGACTTGTGCGAACAAATTCTATTCTGACCACGCTGTTCTGTCGCAATACAATGCGTCCGATGCGACAAAATACAAACTGTTTAGTTTTTTGTTGTGTATGTCGAATTCATGTAAGACATAGCGTTAAGTTTAAATTCTTACAAAAAATGTTCGTTGCAAGTGAACAATGATACCCAACCATTGTATACCTGGACGAAACATAGGTCAATCAAAACCACTCACGGACATTTTGTGGCAAAAGAAACAAATTCAAAAGGTCTTAAAATACCCACAGTCAAAGGAGGTTGACTTATTTTTGTTCATGCAGGAAGTATACAGGTTCATACAGAATTTAAAATTAGTTTTCCGTAGCAATACTGTTAACTTCACAGATTACCACAACCATACGAACTGGGATGTATTCAAATCTTAATTCATCACAATGTTAAATAACCTTGARGAACCGTCTATCRTTGAGATGGATAATGTAACATACAATTCGAYATTAGTTGATAATTTCCCAAAATTTGATGCCAGAAAATCAGATGTTCAGGATTGGCTGACCAAAAAAAAATATTACATTTTCTCCATTAGAGATGCTAGYGGAACTGAAACAAAGGGTCAAATCATTAATTCTGATCGCAAAAAAAATATAAATTAGATGAATTGGCATTGGAAATAGGTCATGAGATAATTTGACTACCACCATATCACTGCCAATACAATCCTATAGAACTAATATGGGTTCAAGTAAAAAATAAGGTAGCTACAAAAAATAATAAATTCAAAATGACCGAAAGAAAAGCTAACACACAAAGCGTTAGATTTGATTACCTAACATGATTGGGAAAAATGTGTGAAACATGTGAAATTAATACAAGACCAAGACTAAGATAAAGACATTTTAAGAGACAGTTTGTTAGAACCTATTATATTGACTGTATTGTCAGACAACAGCGATTGGGACTCAAGCGATAATGATGAAGAGTGTATTGAATAGCTTTATATAGTAAATTGTATTTAATTATTARTAATTGGTCTATACTTGTATTTTAGTTTTTTAGACTAAATCTTTATATATATATATATATATATATATAATTTTACTAATAATTTAAGTTAAGTTTGCGTTTACTTTTGTATATTAAGTTGAAAATAATAAGAAAAATAAAGAAAAATACTTAATATTATTTTCATTAACTGTAGAATATCGCTTTCATTATTAACAAATAATAAAAAAAAATGTATGAATAAGAAATATTATTTTGAAAAAGCGCAGCAAATGATTTAATGATGACTATTTCAAAAAATCCGTTAGGATTGTTGCGGTCAYCCTTCAGTTTCTATATCGCCGACTAGTCGAGAGCATGTTTATGTAATTTTTCTGAAAGTTTGGGTTTTAAAAAATTGGTTTCCCAAATAATTGTCTTTAGTTATCTATACTCTGCTCAAAATAAGAAACGCCTGCAGCGGCGACCARTTTTCGTTGGGCGGCTGTCAGGAAACACCCGTTTATCATCCCACCCATTCAACTATCTGTATATCCAGCTGTGTTATACTGCCACGCCCATGTGCAGTAGCTGGCCGCTGCAGACTTTTCTTATTTTGCACTGAGTAAACAGTCTGTTATATATATATAATATATTTTTTTAATTATGATAAAATGAATGAATTTTTTTTTTTTAGAATTTGAGCAAAGTACAACACTTACATGAATATTCATTAAAAGGAGACATTTTTCTTAAAAAATTGAAACATTATAGAGATGTAAGTACAAGCGTTTTCAATTATCATTAGTAAATTTTAGATGTATGAATGAATTATCAGATAAAGTATTAAAAAAATATAATTAAATAATATTATATTCTACTCCCCCTGTTCAGTCTCTCTTTCAAGTATTAAACTCTTTATTAATCTAAAATGCTAATATTTAATACGTTGATCTTTAGTATATGGAATAAGAAGTATGCTCAATGATTAGAATGTGCATAATTTTTATATGAAACCAGCCATATACAAGGCGTGTGTATGTTAAGCCACCATTAGCAGTCAGAACTACTGTTTTGCTCTGTCTTACAGTATTAGACCTATATTATGCATATTATTGTATTGTATATTCTTTATAATGAAAAAAGTTGAAATTTATATACTTCAACACTTATATAATCATATCCATCCATAAAAAATGTATATCAAATTTAATGTTCTAAGTTGAGAATATTTATTTAAAAAAATAGACTGCACGATTAAAAAAATTGCAAAATAAATTACAGTACAATTTTAATCTTTGGTTTACAAATAAGATATCTTAAAAATAAGCATTAATAAATAAACCACACGTTTTGACAATAAATAATAGGATTTTTTACTTAACACTTAATCAATGATCATATTTACATATTAATTATAATTATAATTATAATCTATTATTGCACATGTTTCAAGTAAAATATTATCTTATATTCTATAAATTCCAGATTTTATTATCAATACCTAACATATATATATTTTGGCACAAATAAAGTTTTTTTTTAATAYMTAKGTATGGTGAATGCATACACTACTAAGTACTTAATTACATTTAACAGATAATTGGATATGTTATCTCATATCTAACTAATAATAATAAAAAAAAAACTATAGAAATTGTAATATTTGTTGTTCACATTATAAACCAATAATTATTAAAAAAGATAACCTACATCTGAAAATAGGGTTTATTTTTGAAACTTAATAAGTATGTATTTGTATATTTTTAAATTAACTTTCTTTAAATGCTTATCTTATTGTTATTAAACTCTATATATTTTTAAATTAAGTTGAAGATCATTTTCTGACTGTTTTAAGAGGACGTCTCACCCGCATGTGTTGTCTCTGTCTTACAAGTACGTAACATTGCAAAAACTGTTTTGCGCGGGAAAGAACCGAGAAAGCTACAGTTATAACTAAGAAACAAAATGTTCACCACATAAAAAGGAGAATTTTGTCTGTGACAATAAGAATTTTTTTTGTATAAGTGATATCAAAAAAATAAAAACGATATTGCACAGACAAAATTCTCCTTTTTATGTGGTGAAAATTTTGTTTCTTAGTTATAACTGTATCTTTCTCGGTTCTTTCCCGCATGAAACAGTTTTTGCAATGTTACGCACTTGTAAGACGGAGACAACAAATGCGGGTGTAACGTCCTCTTAATGCACATCTATAAAATACTTAATACACAAGCTATTCTAGTTGTTTGAACTTGGAACAGAAAAAAATTTTGATAGCAGAAAAATTAATTTTTTACCCTTGCTATTACCATTGTTTAAATTTATAATTGTTATTTATCATCTAATATATTATGTATATTAAAATCTCGAGAGGTTAATTTCTGGACAAATAAAATTCTATAATTTTTTTGCTTTGTTTTTATAATCATGCTATTGTTGAAAAATGTTCACCCTAGAATCGTGTCTAAGCCTTACAATTTTATGAGTAATTTTTATTTGATTTTTTGTGGATAAATTAATAATTATAAAAAAAAATTAAAGATTAAAATATACCCAATAAAAAAATTAAATATTTTTACAAACTAATTATTTTTAATTTGAGCTCTTTAAAACATAATATCATACTAATTATGAATAAATAATTTATAATGGTTGTATTATATTAAAAATGGCACATTTTCAGGCCCATTAGTTTTGAAAACTTGGTTAGTTTTATAATATTTCCTATTTAGTTAAAAAAAAAAAATTATTGTGTTAACATCTGCCTACCTATTATTAATTTCATTTCTGCTATTTTCCATAATTTTTCCTTGCAAACAATAAATCTAGACCAAAGAAGTTCTTATTAAAATTTATATATCTACATCTAGTAATTGTTGATATGGTGTTCTAACTGATTCTGGTTCAACGGTAGTTACATTAATTGCTGGTGACATTGTTGCTCTTTGTTGACCTCTACTTTTTTCGGTTTCCTTAAATTTGTTTTCTAGATATCTATCTACTAGAGGTCCTTCATAATCTTCTGGAAAACTTGGTTTTGATGGTATTATATATTTATATAAGCGTTCATTGAGCACATAGAGTTGAGCTGTAGTATCACATTTTACATTAAACCACCAGTCACATGTCAGTGATACTTGATTAAATATAGTCCCATTTGGGCACAAAAATGATGCTTGACCACCATTTAAGTCACAGTAATGCCACACCTAGAAAAAAAAACAATGAAATTGYAATTTTTCATTTATAAGAATATAAGTAATATAAATTATGCGCTATTTGAAATAATATATTTTATTTTATTTTTACTTTTATCATAATATTTTAATTGACAAAATATTATTATTTATTATAGCAATGATGTTGATAAAATAATTTGTTAGTACATGTGTTTTATGTTCGAGATAAACATTTTCTATAATCCTCTGTTATTTAAGTTAAGTAGTTAGAGTATAGTTCGAAAAAAAAGTTTTTAAGGATAATTATTTAAGTATTTATCCAAAAAAAAAAAAGTGAAAATTATAACTTACACATGAATTTGACAAGACCGATTTGAATTTACTGATAATAACTGACACAAATTATAAAAGTATATTCATATTAGGCATGATACAATATTTTTTAAATAGTTAAATATTAATAATTATGGTAAATATTGAGGTTATAGATTTTCAACTTTGTGGTCATTGATTCTCTAAATAGTTTTCAATAATCAACTGATAGATATCGAAAATTTCTGGTAATTATAGAATATATTGTTTATGGCACTGATAATTCTAATAGGTCATCATCTATATTATGATTATGAGTTATACAACCTATCATTATACATAAAAAGTTAACATAGACATCTTGTCACCTACCCATTAATTTTTTATTTTGAAAGATCCTTATTGCAAACGGACRAGTGTTTTTTAAATTCTGATTCACTAAGCAAGTTTGAAATKTTAAAAACATACAGGTCACATGTTGTATATGTTGCATACAAATGTATTTAATAATAACGACTCTATGGGTTAAAGTATGCCCAATGTAGTAATATACAGCGGCGGAGCAATGATTATGAAATGAGGAAGGGGTTAAGTATTAATTAAAATAAGTTTTTTTTATAGTTTTCGTAAATAAATAATACATTAACTAGGGACAAATATTTCAAATGAAGGGGGGGGGGGTAAATGTCCAAACCCCCCTGGTACGTCACTGGTAATCTACATATATGATGACATGCAGAAAAAATATAAWCGATATAAAATAACGTTAAGTACTTGGCACAGCGTTTCTGGATCTCCGAAAAAACCTTTGTATCTTTGAGTTTTGCAATCAAAACTAGTCTTGGGTATAACTGAGAGTGTTGGATAATCTACACCAGGTCTTCCCGGATTCCCTACGTCACCAGTATCATCATATTCATCAATTGGATCTGGACGGTATTCCGGCTTAGGTTTCTTCGGTCGCAGTGGTCTAGTCTGTTGTTCATCTGCYTCGTTTTGCAATAACTGTAACACAGCCGATAAAGTCTGTATACTGGAACCGATGTTGTCGGCCGTAATTTTGTTTGAAAGACGATTTCCCAAATCGTAACCGTCTAACAGTTCGTTGAGTGCACTGTATTTGTCTGTCGTCGTGGTTGTAGTGACTGGTGTTGTTGGTCTTTTCGGCTTTGGCCTTCTCTGTTTTTTCGTCTTGGTTGTAAACCGCAATTGTTCTTGTTTTTCTGGATATGAATTTGAAGTTGGCGGTATTGTCGGTAAAAATCCAGCATGATTGCCGTGTTTAATAGCAATTGGACTGGATTGAATAATCGGTTTGGGGCTTGTTTGACTTAAATCGTAATAATAATTGTAMGAGTTGTCTGTCTGGTGGATGACATACGGCATTGCAGTCGTCGTTGCTATTACAATAGGCCTTTTAATTTTTGGAGAGCTTGGAAATCTCAGATATCCTGCAGGCGTAGCGTGTTGTTGTTGTTGACGCACTTGTTGATGATTTGATATCTGATAATTATGTTGATGCTGCTGGGTAGAGGGCTGTTGTTTTTGCTGCAGTTCTCTCTCATTTTGAAAATAAAAGTTATTCGTCTGTGAAGGTCTAGGCGAGTTTGAATTTAAATTAGGGTTTTGATATTGATATGGCATGTCATTTTGGTCGTTGTTACCGACCACATAATACGTCACATAAGGAATTAGGCGTCGGAATCGTTCGGCAGTTGACAATGATGTTTCACTTGCATTTTGGTTATTGGTTAACAATTTTTGATTTATCGWGTCTGCAATAAAATAAAATTTAATATTTTATTTTGGCATTGTAATCATTTTAATTGGTAGTTTTTACCTATTGGTYATTCTTAAATAATAATRTTTTTTTTTGTATTTCAAGCACTACACGAACAAATAATAAATTTTAAGTTTCCTAATCTATCTAAATATGGTACCTATTTTTTTAATACTATTATTATAGGTGACCATTTCACAATTGGTTCACGAAAGGAATTTCGAGTCACTCGCTATTCACAATTGTCCACAAATCGTGATTAGAAAATCTCTTATATTTATCCAACTGTTGCCCACTGCGGTAAATGTAAATGACTATTTAAGGYTTATATTATATTATATTATGTGTATTATTTAAATACAAGTATTTGTAATTCCGACAGCTGACACATGTAATATTTAAACGTATTCTTATAGTATGTTCTTAAAATTAACCTTGTGAGACGTTTTTAACAATATGTAAAAGGGAAATCACATCATGTGTGTACTTTATGGTGTTATTATTACGAATGGAATTAACTTCAACGAACCGTATCGATCTTATGAAATTATTTTAATTTAACTGTAATAATTAGCATCATTAAGTGCTATATTGTTATCATTATTATTACATTATAACATTATATTTTGCCTAGCATCGATTTCCATAATGTTTTGATTTAAATTTTAAACTATATKTGTTATAAAACTGTAAGTAAATATATTTTTTATCATTACCATAGTTTATTATGTTTGTAAAGTATAGTCAAATATTTTTATTATATCACAAAATACGGTTTCCAGAGAAAGTGCGGTCGATTCGTCCATATGTGTCTTGAATTTGTAATTAATCACGACTATCGTGTTTTATACTAGTGATGATTTCTGGTCATTCTTTTTATGTACTTACACTTCAATTTTTTGTTATGGAATGATATTTATAAGTAATGAAAAAAATACACGCTGAACTGGAAATATAACTAGCAGTGTATAATAAAATATAGGTGTCTTCCTATATTGGATCTTGCATAACTGCAAATTACATTTGTGAATAGGTCTAACACACTTTAATGCAATAATATTATTTTTCAGTGTGATTTTCTTATTTTCGCACCATGTTATTCCTCTTGTGTAACTCTCCAAACAAAACATTGAGTAATTTATAATTTATCTTATTATTAAGAGATTCACGTATACGTTGTTTTTATACCTATTGATAGAATTAAAATTATTATGTGAATGTTAAAATGTATTATAATAAAATTGCTATTGTATGTATTCGTATAGTCTGTTATATTTAAAATTCCAGACGGTGTTTTATTGTAAATCCATTCTAYGTATATATTATAGAGCTACGTATTTATTTAAATTATTGACAAGTATAATAATATGATTATTTTTTCTCACGAATTATTATTTGAATTTTTTTTTTTACATTATTCTTAATAATTCATCATTCCAATACACATATACAATGAAGTTCCTTTTTAAAGTATACCTACGCGTTTGTTTATGTAATATTTTTTATTATAATCAATTTATAAACGAATTTKATTTTTGGCACGAGCAAAACTGTGGGATAAGGAATGATCATAATATACATATGGGCAATGTATTATGGGAAACAGAACATTTACTTTTAGGGCCTCTAAACGTTTAGTTGTTTATGTGATTCAAATGTTTTTCTTATGTATAGTTGTTATTAATCTATAGCTAGGCTTATGTTTATTGATTTTATGAACCTATTGAATAATAAATTGTAATCTTATTATCTTTTTAGAAACTTAAATGAAAATTAATTTTTGGTTTAAAAATGGTTTTTGTTTACCTGCTTTATGAGATAAAGTAAAATGAATTTTTATTGAATTGTCTGCAGTAGGCATAAATTTATTCGTTTATTTTAAAATATTCTCAAAATAATTCTTATTTATCTTAACTATCTTAGTGTAGTATCCAATTAATAACAGTTTAATTTAGGTACTTATTTATTACACGTTATTAACAATTCCAGTAATACAATATCTACTTTTTTTTTTTAAATTTTCAGTGACCAATTTATGTCTAAACATAAGTTATAGATAAAGATTATTTTATTGTTTATGTTCTTTATTAGATCGGTACTTAAATATACATTTATGGTATAGAATATGTGGTATGATATTATTTAAACAATTTTTGTTGTTGGTGATTTATGTTTAGGTTTTAGAAGAAATACTTTTCACTTATTCTTAAATGTAGATATTTATTGAATAAACAACCAGTTTAATGACATGTTATTTGTGCTATAAACTATATAATAGGTTAGTAGAATATCTTGCCTTGGGATCACCATTCAAAATGTACTAAATGTCTGTATAATCCTCTTATTCTAAATGGTGTAYTGATCTATTCTTTAAATATATCACCAAGTAAGTCAATTAGCCTGTATGTTCCTACYTTGAAATCATTCATCTTCGAGTAAGGATTTAGTTTTATTGCTTAAAAGTTTTTGGCTGATCTAAAACATATTTTGTTTAAAATTGCATTTGCAAATATAATAAATAAAGTCAATATTTGACTTAAAGGACCGACGTTGTAAAATAAACATGTTGTATAACATATATTATATATATATATACTTTTTAGATGCGATTAGTTTCACGTGTAACATAATTAATAAATATGTATTGCGATAATTTTTATACTTAAAAATAAATGCGTGAGAAATGCGTATCACTTTGTTATTACATATTGCCTCTGATATCCATTTACTTTCTAGTTTTAATTGTTGCACTGGTATTACGATTTGATTCCAGCGGGAGATGTAAGTGTACCCTAGTACCCATATTAAACTTTGTCTCTATTGTGTTTTATCTGTCACTACTTTTACTCATACTTTTACGCTCTAAAAATYATTTAACTATTAACCGGTTTTTAAGTATATAATACGGTTTAATCGTTTTTTTACATTGTTTGTAATGCATAATTGGTATCGGCGTGAGATTAAGTCCTTTGATAATGTGTCACGATCATGACTTTAATCGTAAATAAAACTCAACTGTCTCAACTACTATATTATACAATTTTTGATTTGCAATGTACCATTCTTTAATTACATTTTTTTTAAATATCTATTTAAAATTTTAGTTTTCTATTTTTGTTATAGATTTTCATTGTATACACCTACAACAGTTTAGTTTCGTGTGTGCAAACATTCAATCTTTTTTTTTTATACAGAACTCACTATTTCTAGAACTATTTTAACCTAACCTAACCAAAGCAGGTTTTTTAAATTAATTTAATTAAATTTATTTTAATTTTAAAGCTAAAATTAGAATAAAAGTTAGTTTTTTGGAATTTTATAATTCAAAGACAACAAGAAAATGGTAACTTAAGTTTGATTAGAAGTTAGTTTTTTTCTAGTTTAAAATATAAATGTTACAACAGTAAGGTAGTTCAAAATATTTAAATATGTTAAGTATTACAAAATTAATTACTCTGTGTCTTGTATCTAACTCAAATTATTGGTGAAAATAGAAAAATTATATTGAATACCTGAAAATTTGATGAAATATTTTAACCTTTCAAGTAGGTARGTAWTAACCCTTTTTTCTTGGAAACTTATTTTGATATCATCATTAGAACATAGAAAACAAACTACAAAAATAACAAGTTATGTCTTATTGTTTTTAACAAGTTAATAGATTAAATTATTGTGCCCATTCAATTCAACTATTTAATTAACAAAGTTAATATGAATTAAAACTAGCTAGTTAAGTGACAAAGTTAATATTATTAAAACTAACTAGTTAAGTTACAAAGTTACTTTTTAACTTAAACTATCTATCTAGTTAGTGCTCAGCTTTGATTAGGACTAGGTATATTATTGTTACAAATTATAACGATTAAAAGCATTTACAAAAATGTATAATTTTGATATTATTAATCATTATATTATATCATGTCATAATTTTAAGCGTTTAAAAAACAATCTGAATCTTACGTTATTCAAATTATTGTTCAAATTATTGTTCAACATGTTAGTTAATTGTTGTCTAAAATCGAATTAATAAAATATTTTATATCATACGCTAAGTATTAATTATAATATAATAACRAATATTAAAATTCCACGTACCTGTGTCGATACCGCACACTGCGTTGTAACTCAACAACAGAATACCGTAAAACGTGATACTACTAAGCATGTCCATTGTGCACACAACACTGCTGTACATGCCGCTGCATTCGATCAGAATAACCACTGTCCAAGAACTGAGCAGAGGTCCTCCTCCTCGAAGCTTCGTTGTAGTATATGCTGCGGCTATAGTGAACGGGAAATGGCAAATTCTAAAATAACAAACAATCTATAGAAATGTCCACTGTTATGTAATTGCTCGTCGTGTTATTCAGTATTAATTTAGAATACAATTAAATAGATATAGATTCGTAGGCATAGAATTTTCCAACTATCCAAACGTTCAATAAATCACCTGTTGAATATATTTTATAAAATATGATGAGCGATTTAATATTATTTAATACATTTTGTAAATCGAATATTTGTTTATATATTTTTATTTTGACGCGTATAYCTACATATTAATATTATTATGGTTATTACGTAAAAATATTTCGCCAAAGTATTTTTATTTTATATTAAAGCACAAACACTGCACCTTGACATCGTGACCACTGGTGTATGACTATTACGGGATTACATTATTTCTTTAAAATATGCGCAGATTCCCCGACGGTTTTATGATTTTACACTCTCACATAAATTGTATATTTAAATTTAAAATTATACAAATTTGTCGTATGCATTTATGTTTTATTATGGATACGTATTCCTCTTTTCGATTATAAGTTTTATCTTCTGATCATACCATATTTAATATATAAATTCTTAATTGTAATAATAAACTTGTTATAACCTGTAATATGTTGCCACATTTTAAACTATAATAAACGAAAAAAAAACTAAAAGTTTATGCGTACAGCGGGGTTTGATCGAATTACTAGTTAAGAYGTGTATTACGCTGTTGAATTTGATTGATAATCTTATTATTTCAATACGGTTACTAGTATTTAACATATAGTTCATACCAGCATTTTCGTCRTACCTAAAATTATTACAGGAACYGGTGCATTATACATACGATCTGAATGTTTCATTTTAGTTTAATAAATTAAAATTAATATTTAAAATAAGTTGTTTTAAATTTAAATATTCAAAATTAAGTATTTATCCAGAACAATAATATTTTATGCGCCGATAAAGCTCTCAGTAAATGATTAGTATTATATAAAAAAATTATTATTTAGACATTTTTACTTTGTTAAGGAAGTTGAGTAAATCAATGCAACAATATAACGTGGTTATTTAAAAAAAAAATGATCTTGTGAATTTTTAATGATAAATTGAAACACTTGTTATTTATGTTATAATCACAAGTGTGTATGTTTTACAAGTAGAGATTTTAAAAGTATATGAAAAACCTGAGCAATTTAATGAATAATGGATCTATGCAATTATATTTGTATATAATATAGCGTTGGTATATTATTTTAGTTTTAAAGTAATTTCTAACATGTTTTTAAAATTTTTTATTAATTTAAAAATGTGCGCTCATTAGTTTTAAATATTATAATAATTGATATTTTATGGTATAGGTCATAGGAATTAAGTATAGTAACTTTATTGTATGGTTGTCTATAACAAATATAACGCTGTGGCTTGTGGTTTGATGCAAGAAGAGCTGATGTTATATTTGAATGCATTTTAGATCATTTGACCAGTGCGCCGCAGTGTCATTAAGATTTGCTTATTTTATTTGTGGTAATATATGGGCAATGTCTCTGATGCAACATTACCAACTTAATACGTTCATTGGCAATTTCGAAATCAATCAATACATTTAATAGTATAATAAATTGCTAAAATTATGTATAATTAAATATGATTATAAGGTTTTAATAAGAAAGTTAAGTTTTTTAGTTATTAAAAAGTGTTAATTTTATAAATGTCATCGATCAAGTATAAATAATAATATTTTTTACAATATCTATTAAAATTCTCAATTTAATGTAGATCCCGTAATGTTATATATAGGTATTMAATTTGCTTGTTATAAAATTAAATTTCTCAAAGATGTTTTTTGACACTTGGCCTTCTTTCACCAAGGTACAGAATAATTTTGATGAAAACAATGTTATAAATTAAAAATATTGCAGAATATTCAAAAGTTTTGTTTGATTTTATTGAATATAATATTAACGTTTTTTATTAGAACAACCATGAATTATGTWCCATATTTTTTTCTACGATTTATTTGTATAATACCATATACATGATATGTAATAATATTTTGTATAATATGATGACCACAAATCTTGATTTATTTTATTTTTGAAATATATCATATCAATTGATTCACAGCTTTCACTTGAATAGTTAAATCATAACTCAAAATATAAAATTCAGTAACTAGTGATAATCCGTAATGATTTCTACCTAGTATATTTTAGAAGCTGTTATTATATTATTGTACAATGTATATTTTGAATCCGTGATGCATTTTAATGTACTTCGTTAAAAAAATGATAAATATTGTTGTATGAAAAATGTTTTACGAAAAATAGATAGTTTTATCATTAGTTCCGGTTTTATAAATTAACAGTCGGATCTGGAGGATTTYACTATGATACCTAAGTGTCCATTTCTCTACAAAACACAATCATATTTACGTTAATAAAACGAAAGTAGTTGTTGACAGYGAATAGCTCAATAGATATATAACAAGTATATGTAAACTTAAATAATGTATTAAAATTACCATATATATATGTATATGGACGTAAACACATTTTGTATTATCGATAAAATAAAGTATTAATTATTTTATTAACGTAAGAACTCTTTCTTTCTTTTTTTATATAATTATGTTAATACTTGAATTTGCAACACATCTCTCTGAGTAAGAAATTGATTTAAATATGTAGTGTAAAAAAATTTAAGTAKTCATTWTATATATACAAGTAAATGTATAATATAACGATGGTAAATAAAAATTCAGTTTTAATTGTACTTCGGTTCTTATAACCCTTTTGTTGACCTTTCTCATTGAGTGCTTAACATCTTAAATTTTTAATTTTAGTACCACAAATCCTGTAGTAATTTTATTTRATAATTAAAAATCTTCGTCATGCATACCAATATGGGCCAAGATTGACCCAATTTTAATAAATTAAATAAATTATTTTTTATTAATAAATATTATTAAAGTAATCAATTATCCACATTGAAAGAAATCCTTACTATGAAACTGTTTAAATAAATTTGCTGAAAACAAGTGAACGTTGTAAATTGTAATTACATTTCTAGTATAACTATTATTTGTTAATAAATAAAATTAATTTATTTTGCATAAAATGTTATATAATTAATGTAACCTATGATTATTTTGATTTTTTAAATAAAGATATCAAATATTTTGGAAATGGTATGGTAAATGAGGAATGTTTAGGGCCCAAGTTTTTCATAGATCTGCTTCATTTAGAACTTATTTAATACTATTGGGCGATTTACATATATGTTTTTATTTTTCTATAAATCTCTTTTCTTAAAAAAATCTAGCTTCCTCTTAAATTACACATTTGTCTTTAATTGTGTGTCTGTGTAATCTATTATTGAAATCCGTGATAATAAACCCTATTTTATAACAACCTGTTTGTCTGTTGTCGAATCTTAACTAGAATGTGTTTATATAATATTTAATGTTTAGTTGAACTTTTAAAAATCCATATATAAAACTACTTTTTCCTTGTACACACGTCTTTTCTCTTGTGGTTCATAAATATTTCTATACTCGTATCAGATTATTTTAACTGTCAATTATAAAGGTCTGATAGTTAAATCATAATATCGAATACCTATATAAGAATATATTAAATACATCAAGTCGTTAATGTCAATATATATATATATAATATATATATAGCTTTGTCGCATTACTCTTAAGTCATGTCTCCTATAATGTTTAGAGGGAAAGTTACAAATTAAAACACCTTATATGTTTTGAATATTCAAAATAATTTTTTTTTATACGCCTAATAAAAAAAAAAAAAAAAACGTCATTACCCGAGTACTTTTTTATGTAGGTATTATGTGCATTTAAATCACAATAAAACGTCTGTCGAACATTATCGTGTTGAAGGGATCATTAAATATATATATATATATATACAAAGCCATATAGGAATACAATATTATGTTCATCCGTTTGTCCTCCATCGGAGCAAAGGTTAACCCACGGGGAAAACAATAGATGTTATACGTCATGCACGGATCACCGCGCGATGTGCCTTAATGCCTTGTAAAATTACAAGAGTATAATATTATTACGATTATTATACTATTATAGTATATCGTGTGATCGAGTTGTATAAAAATAAGAACAAGGACGACTAGATTTTATATTGCATTGTGACAATATGCATTCGAGGTAAAGCCAATGGTCCCTAACAATAATATTGTGCATATCACGTATTGGACGAATTAAATACAAAACATTTGAGCGAAAACCAGTTCGATCGAAGTATCGTATGAACAACTGTATAGGTATGCAATATATTTATTGTCATTACACAGGTGGTCTTTAATTCAAGTGCACGCCTATACGGCTATCCATGATATTATTATATGATGTATACGGTTATAAAGTTCAACGTACCTCCATATTATATTTTGACAATTATCCAATAGCGATATTATATTATTGATTCGAGACCGTGTATAATGATTAATGATCGACGACGACTGATCATCAAATGACAATATAATATTATATGACATTTTCGTCACGCGTCGAAAACAACGTGTATGAGACTTGATTCGATGATATTTGGCACGTGCAGACGACGAATATACCGTGAGTCGTGACTGCTGGATATCACAGAAAATAGTTTTTCTTAAAATATTGATTTCGTCCGCGGCACCGAATACTACCTATACCGCGAGTCGTGACTACAGGATAATATCGTATATAAAACAGTTTTTCTTGAAAAATATTGATATCGTCCGCAGTGCCGATTCTGCAGCAGTGCTTATAGAAAGTTAGAGTTTACGTATTATGTTATATTATTTCACCTTCGCGTGCCGTGTTTTTTTTTCCTAACGCCGCCTCGTCGCGTCGTGAGCTTTAGGCTCTGAATCCCATTTGTGTTACAAATAAATCAGCACTCCTGTGCCTGCATTCGCCTTCGTTTGCGCGTGTTGTATATTATCAATATAATTGTACGATTATTACATCGATAGCTGTTCGTTTCGTTTCGTAAGATCGATCGACGTTTTTTTTTTTTTTTTAAATGAATAATTTCGTTAATCGCGCATTGCTAGAAATCATCTTGTGCGTGTACCGCGTTTATTTGAACATCTCGATCCGATCACGCGAAAGACCGACCAAACCCTTAACCGGACGTCGTCTCGTGTGCCGTTCTCGTTTCGGAGARATTATTAATAATTGTGATGAATCGAATTAGCCGATATAATGTTATTATGTCATAACGTGTGTATAACATACGTTAATGGATTATTGAGTAAGACTGAGCAAGTCACAGTGATGCTAAATGCATTATGTTATACGTGGTTATGAATATTATTAATCTCTGTGAGAGATGGTTTATGTATCATACCAGAGATGTGTACACCTACCTGAACAAATCCGACACAAAAACTAGTTTTCAGACGACTTTTTTATATGGCAGCAAAATATTATAAAGTTTAATAGGTTCCCGCTGTATTGAGTGTTTCGTTGCGTCACATATATTTCTCTCGGCGGTATTCGATCTGACTGATTACTCGTGTGCAGGAAAGAAGATGTCGCGTGAAAATTGCTCTCAGGGTGTCATCTCACTGAATATGAGAAGTAAAATCATTAACACTTCATGTGTAAAAAACTGATGCTTGAACGCAAACGTAAAAATACATTTAAAAAAATGTTCGAAGTACCTAAGTTCGCATTTGATTTTTTTTTATGTTTTGTTTACGAGTATTCCAGAAATTGATGAATATCATKAATTGTAATAATTAAACGAAATCATTATATGTACGTAGCCGAGAGTTAACTTTCACGTGAAAATGGCCAACTAAAATGATCTGTGATGTGTGTAATATGTTGTGTGCTGTGTGTGAACAGAATTCCAAGACTCAGTTAATGRCCCGTCTACTTTCGTTTTTCACAATTAATTTAAAATACGCATTTTTATGTTATTATTTTACATAACCGCGTCGAGTCCATCGTGTCCAAGCAAAAATATTACAATCTAAACACTGTTTTTAAAAATTCACAAACATGTCCATATTATATTATATATATATCATTATAAACGAATGAAGAATGATGCGACTGCTAGTATAATAATGATATAGATATACTCATATTACTAGCTGTCTTCGCGGGTTATCGTTTTTCAACTAGATAAAAATACTTCCTAGTGTTGTATCATATACAGGAAGAAAAATTGACATTAAATTAGAGCGAAAGTAATATATGCGTATTATGTATACTGTATATAGTAATAATTATAGTTTGTTTTTTTTTTATCCATTATTCTCAAAACTAGTCTTGACATTGATTTCTGGTCACTTATTAGAATTGCGCCCTTGAGGTGCTTAAACGGTGAAAGTAAATCGGCTATAGTAAAATTATAATTGTTGTTAATTTACTTGATTTTGATTTTTTTTTTCATCGATATTGTTTATCGTGTACATCTGTGTCATATAATGGCGACACTGGTTAAAATTATTATACAATCTCAATTGTCCGAGCAGCGAAGTGTCGTCTGTGTATTTRGATATTATGTTATAATGTTATATATACGTTTTTTAACCAATTTTTATCGCCTGACGTTTCTTTTCGTATATGTTGTATGAGTAAATTTGTTGGCTATCGGGGTATGGAAAGTAGAAATTTAACAAGACAACAGTTGTAGTTACTATTCATTTGAGAATAATTTACGATACCTAATTAAATACATAATAATGACAAATTTCTGTATTTAAGACTTGTGTTATAACTAACGATACTTTTCAAGTATTMATTTTTATACGTTACTTATGCCTGCAAATGTTATGCCAAACTATTAAGTCATTCATGAAAGTCAATCCTAGTATCACAAAAATCTTTACCGTGACATTGTACGAAAACATTAAAAATGAAACTGCAATGTAATGATCGTAATGTAATAACGCAAAAATAAAATATATAATAATGCAACTAAAATAATACAGTTAATATGACTAATAATTTTAACTAAGGCTCGTGCCAATARTTATATTAATTAGTGGAAGATATGAGAAATAAAATGGTGTTTGGTTGAATTATTGAGTTACACTAAAGGATCTGTATATTGTTCTCTACTCTTATAAGAGCTGGAGAATAAGCTACCAGGTATAAATATTAAAATTGCGCTATTACCTTCCTCCTGGTCATCGGAGGGTTCTCGAGGTCGTGATTCGAGAACGATCAAGTACACCGTAACAATAAAATATTAATTATTAAATTATAAAAAATTTAATAAATACAATATAATATATAAAATTATATAAGTATATGAATATTGATGCGCAAGCACCTTACCTTATTCGCAGCTGTGTTTGATATGCAGTTGACGTTATAAGATAAATAAAGGTTTTTTTATTAAACACTCAGATTAAAGAAAAACAACACTGTTAAATTTCGATTTTAAAAAAGAAACGGTCCAGCTGTTGCTCGCAATGTCTGGTGTCGAAAAGTTTTTAGGTGCTTCTGCACTCTTGAGGTTGTTTTAGTGTTGAATGGTGCTCATGCACTTAAGATTGGGGCTCTTGCACTTAAGAGTGGTGCTCATGCACTTAAGAGTGGTGCTCATGCACTGATAAGAGGAGACGACTTGGTCAAGCCAGCCAGGGTCGCAGGCGGCTCCATCAAAGGCCTCTGCGTTTCTAAAGATTTACCGTTATCCTTGTTAGCAGAGGTCTTCATTGGACCATCCCTTGTCTCTGGCGGCACGCAGGCACACAAAATAGATCAAACGTGCGGCGACACATTGTCGCAATTACGTCTGGGTTCATACGTGACCAAACAATACAGATATAGTTCCTTCCATCAGTGATTAAATAAATTTATTGGGGTTTAATGGTTATTTGCGGGTGACATCTTGACCGTTATTTATTTTATTGGATAACTAAGTAATGTACAATTATGATATGTGAGCATATCATTACAGTAATCTTCTGATCTAAGAAAAAATAAATATTTATGCTACCTATAGCAAACTACTGTATTACTTTTTAATAAAAATTGTAACGTTACCTAATTAGTGACAAAAATAATTGTATGCAAGTATACATAATATATTAATATCAAACATACATTACCTACCTAAATTTTTTAAAATCTTTAAAATCTATTACGCTATGCTAAAACTGAGGCATTGAATTCTAAAATGAGATATATACAACGTAATTAAGAAGGATTTACCTTATGTATATAGTCTCTCAGTTCGTATTTCTGCTCGGAAAATGGATTAGTGTAGGTCGTTGTTACTTGTTTCTAATAAAAAAAAGTAGGTTCGACCTGCATTGGTGACCGACATTGATCGACTGAACTTCTTAAATCATTGACGTTACATCTATTTTCGATATGTAAATAACTGGCGGGGGCACAATATAATATTGTTATTATTATATAGTATTTCGCCAATGCAGTTAATTAAAGACGGAAATCAGGGAGCGTTCTGATTGGCGGAGCTTGTGTCTTTAGGAGGCCCCAGCCCACTGTTGTCTTAGTTTTTATTATTTTAGCTTGAATAATGGGTAAACGGAAAACTGGTACGGTCTTTGTAAATGCGGAATACTGGTACGATCTACAATAGTCAAGGTTTTCTAAACTTAGATCTTAGAATAAGTTATGGTATGAAATATGAATGTATGATTAAGTCTTAGCATTTTCACCCCTTAGTGAAGTAATAGATGGA